CTCATGAAACACATGCAATGGCACTGAATGCAGGAGGATCACAGGCCAGTTGGGTGGGAAATCTTATGGATCCAATGGTAGTGGAAGCATCTCAGCACTGACAGGAGTCTCCATGTGGCTTCTCCAGCTCTGAGGCTCTGGCTGCCATCAGCCTGTCTCCATGTGGTTTGTCAACAAGAATGTCTCCCAAGGACTGAGCCTGTGTCTGACCTCCAGTGAGCTATTTGTCTCCTTAGTGCCTCCAAATGAGGTCATCATGCTACGACCTGACTGACAGGCTAAACTCTACCCCTTCACTCGTAAACCTCTCAAATTGACAGCAGATTATATAACCGCCACACCTGGGGGCAGGCTGGCCTAAGTGTGTCCTTGATGGAAGTATGGGACAGTAGAGTCACGTCCTGACTGCCTTGGACGGAGGGCCCTGAACCAGTCCGACAGCTCTTCTGTCTGGCACAATGTATGTGCGTCCCCCAGGCCCCTTCCTGTTTCTGCAGTGCCCCCTGAGGCTGTGCTGTATGATCATCCACCCGTCATGCTGCTCTGCCAGTTTCCTTTGCCCTCGAGTGTCCTGTCGAAGCAGCTGGCTCTCTAGAAATTCTTAGACACCATGATGACCTCGTGCCAATGGCCCCTCTCATCTGGATGATAGACCTTTGACTTTGTCTTGTCTGTCCTGTTTGAGAATTAGTCAATGTTTTCCTGGTAATTGGGATTCAGGGTCTCTTTTGTCCCCCACAATAATGTGAAGATATAGCTCAGATACTGCTGCCACAGTGCACTGCCATGAGTGGTAGGGAGGGGGCAGGGTACCCGGGTCCATGGGTCATCCTGAACCGGACAGCCATCTCCAGCAATACCACACAAAGCCATGCCCTCCCCACCCCCACACACACCCTTGGCTCAGACTGGAGGTGGATTGATGTTCACCTCCATGGCAGACAGCTGTTGCTTTATCACACACCAAGGGCAGGGTACAACTCGGTCCCGGGCACGGTGTCCCAGAAGTCCCTGAGGCCAGGCTCCTAGCCCCACGTGCTCCCTCTCAGGATTTCCCTGCTCCCAGGGAAAGTGCAGGAAGGCACCGGGCAGGGCTCCCTCTGGGAGGGAGGGGTGCTTGGTGTTATCTGTGGCTCTCTGCTTAAGAAAGCAACCCTGATGTGAAGCAGATACAGGGAGATGTTATTGCACTTTATCAACTGTCTTTGCGGATCTTGCTTTTTTTTTTTTTTCTTAATAAATGAAAGCCTTGTGGAGCAGAGATAGAGAGGGGGTGGCTGGAAATAGGGGC